TCTGCTGGTGGGGGGAAGATGAGCTGGCCTCATCTGCATTTCTGGTCTCTCTTTGTCTCCTCTCGTGCTCTCTCTCTCTCTCTCATATACTCTCTCATTCTCTCTTCATCTCTCTCTCTCTCTCTCTCATCTGTGTGGATCCCTGACTAAGCACGCAGGTACAATGCCAACGTCCCAATAGAATCTTGCGAACGTGTGAGCTGCGCTTTCCGTGTCCATATATTTTTTATATACCCCCTCGGTTTAGCCTGCCCTGTGTGCCTGCCGTCTCATTGCCTGAGGCCTCCTTCTTCTCTCCGGGAAGTGTGAATGGCACAAAAGAAGATATAGATTGTGGAAGGTGGGTGTCGTGGGGGGAGAGAGGCAATGTCGCGGAGGAGGGAGAGTCTGGGAAGGGAAGGGAGGAGAGGTGTCGGGAGAGGTGGTGGGGGGAAGGAGAGGGTGGTGGTCGGGAGGGTGGGGTGGAGGGAGGAGAGGGTTCGGAAGAGGTGGAGTGGGGGGAAGGGAGGGGGTTGTCGGAGGGGGGAGGGGGTGTCGGAGATAGAGAGAGGAAGGGGGTCGGGGGTGTTGGGTGTCTTCCAAAAATGCCACCCCTCGCAGAACACCCAGCGACGTGTCACTTAAGCGCATGGTATTCACTTTCCACCCTCCGGGCACTTAAACAATACGAGGCTAAACACGTGGGGCGAGGGGTGAGGTGTGTAATGTTATGTAAAAGCATGATTCCACTGGACGCGACCGGGTACGACTAGGTGCCTCCTCTCGACACCTGCTCTCGGATTCTGCCACGCACGTGGTACCCTGAGAGCTGTCGGGTGGGGCGAACTCCACTCCACCAACGCGTTGGAACACAAGGATGTAACACGCACATCAGCTTACGACGCGAGAGTGGACAATTCAATGGGCAGTTCGAACGAGGCATGACGCGGAGAGGGGGAGAAGAGGGAGATTGTATGGAAGTTGGGTGGAGATGGTGGTGTAAGAGAATATGAAGTGGGTAGGGAGAAGGTGAGAGCGAGAATAGAGAAAGTTCGACAGTGGTGAGAGGAGACTGAAGTGAGGAAGGAAGAGAGACGTTGTTGGATAAAAAGGTGGGCCGTTGAGGAGTGAGTTAGCGCGGGGGATAGGGGAGGGAGAAAGTGGAGGGCGTAAGGAGAGTGAGGATAGGGAAAAGAGATGAGGGTGACAGGGTGGGAGAACGTAGATAAGAGGGAAGGGAAGAAGGGTATTGGGAGAGAAGAGGAAATGAGAAGGAACCGGGGAGAAAGAAGAGGTTAAGGAAAAGGAAAAGGGGAGGCGGAAGGAGAAGGTGAGGCGGAGATGAACGAGGGGAGGCATTAAAGGAGAGGAGGATAGAAGGCAGAAAGTGAGGAATGCCGGAGTAAGGAGGGAAGAGAAGAAAGAGATAAGACAGTATTGCATGGAGGGGAGGGAAAGGCGAGAGAGAAGAGGAGACGAGAGGAGAGAGAGAAGAGAGAGAGATGGAGAGAGGGAGACGAAGCAGAGAGACTCTGAGGAGGATTGAGAGAGAGAGAGAGAACGAGGAGAGAGAGAGAGAGAGAGAGGGGCGGGGGTGTGAAAGATAGAGAGGAGGAGTAGAAGGAATGAGGGGCGAGAGAAGAGAGAGAGAGATGAAGAGAGAGATCAAGGGATAATGAAGAGACAGTCCAGTGAGAGCAGTCTTTGTTTCTTATGTCATAACCAGCACTTCCCCTGCGCTCTCTCGCCATCTCTCTCCCCTCATCCGTGGTGCGCCTCGCATTCATCAGTCATTTGCGCTCTTCGCTTCTCATCAATAGCCACCACACGAATTCCAGTACATCAATCATCTCATCGCCATTCGCACTCTTATCTTCATCACGCCCGTCTGTCACCCTCTCATTCTCCATACATCATAATGCATACACTTCCGTGTGGCGAGTGTTCATTTCCACATGTGCAGAGTTAATAGCAGTAAGTACTCACCATTAATCTTCTCGTCATCCACACTCATTTTCCTTTCTCATATTCATATTCATCCACTCACGTTCTCCTCATATTCCTCTCACCAACGAGAGTGCAGCCTAGTCGCATCACACTCATTCTTCCTTACACTCATGTTTACATCACATTCGATCTTACATCACATCTCACTTACGTCATCACATTCGAGTAGTGTTGCCTCACAGCTCGAGTGCGACATCACAGCGTGCGATGTCTATCCTCAGAGCATACCTGCATCTCACACTCACTCTCGTCATTCATTCACTGGCGTGCAGCGATGTCACCTCTGCACACTCATGTCTTCCTCCACATTCACTTCATCACAGCCATTCTTCCTCACACTCATCTCATCACACTCACCTCACAATAAAACAGATCTCGTCATCACTCTCGCCCATCACATATCACCACACTCACTCACATCTTTCTCGCTGCGCTCGCCTGCCTCGACCCGTATGGGCTGTCTCCCTCTTGGCGTGGAGAGGGGAAGACAGAGCGAGAGCGAGAGCAGACAGGAGGCTAGACAGGACTGCTGTCTCTGTCTCCCTGTAATTTTTCCTGTCATCCTTGCAGGGTCGCTCATCTGTTGCTTGTGCGCGTGTTCGTGCGTGTTTCCTGTTTTCTTTGACTGTCTCATCTCTGACTTCAGATACTGTTCTGTTAGATGGACTGATGGAATTCTCTCTCCCTCTATGTCTTCGGGGCGTGTCTTTACTGGTCTCGTTCGTGCGTGCTTCTACACTGTCTCCTCTCTCTCTCTCTCTCTCTCTAAATCTTTCCTTTTCTTTCTCTTACTCCCTCTCACTCTCTCGTGCGTCTCTCTCTACCGTGTCGTCGTCTCTCGTGCGTGCGTCTCACATACACACATATCTCTCTTTCCTTTCTTTCTTCTTTCTTTCTTTCTTATCTCTCTCTCTCTCTCTCGTTGTTCTCTCTCTCCTCTCTCTCTCTCTCTCTCTCTCTCTCTTCTCTCTCTCTCCTCTCTTCTCTCTCTCTCGTGCTCTCTCTCTGCGTCTGGCTCTCTCTCTCTTCTCTCTCTCTCTCTCATATCTACTCTCTCTCTGCTGCTGCTACTCTCATCTCTCTCTCTGGGTGTGTGTGTGTTGGTGTAGTGTGTTAGTGATGTGTTGCGGTCGTCTACATCCTCTACACTGCTGCTCAATACTTCTCTCTACTCTCTCTCGTGCTCTCTCTCTCTGCGCCGGTCTCTACGTGCGTCGCTCCTCTGCGTGCTCTCTCTCTCTCTCTCTCTCTCATATACTCTCTCTCGTGCGCAGGTTTTCCGCGCGTTTCTATATATATTCGTGGTCCACTTCCTCCTCTTTGCATACTCGCGTGAACTGTTTTTGAGTGTCCTCGTCCATACGCTTCTAGAGCAAAAGAGTGCGACGTCGGTATTATTACTTCTCCTTTATTGGTATTTCGACCTTCTTGAGTGGCAGATTTCGAGTTGTAAAGTGGCGAAGGGGGGATATTCATGTATTCTGATGGCCAGTATTATAAAGGGATTAAATACGGCGAGTGTGGGATGGAGTAGTGTGTGGTAGTGTGTGTGTGTGGTGTGTATAGTTGTGTGCTGTGTGGCTTGTGTGTGTGTGTGTGTGTGTGATGTTGTGTGTGTGTGTGTGTGTGTGTAGTGTGTGACAGTGTGAAGGGTAAGAGAGAAGATGTGAGGGTGAATGTGAGTGTATGATGTGAGAATGTTTACTGTGTGTAAATGAGGGTTGTGTGTGGTGTGTAGTGTGTGTGTTGTGTGTGATGTGTGTGTGTGGCGTGTGCGTGGTGTGT